TGCACATATACATATACATATACATATACATATACATATACAGATACATATACATATACATAAACATACACATACACATACACATACACACACACATATATATATATACATATATATATATACATGTGTGTGTGCGCATGGGCTTGTAAAGAAATATACCACATGCGTATGTGCGTGATGATACAGATTTCATATATAATTACATCTACAAATATGGCCCTCCCAAACAACGCAATACAGCCAGAACAACTTCGAGGACAAAGAGTCCATACGCTTCCAGCTGCTTCGTCGGCCATTTCTGGAGAACGGCGCCCTGGCCCACTCGCCATCGTTGCACCACCTCCCCATAGATCCTTTTGTCGGGTAGCTCTTTGCTTCGATAAACAGTCTCAGGGTTTGGAGCTTAGGCTTCTGTTCAAGCTCATCGTCAATGTTCGTATGCTCTCAAAATACCTCGAGAAGATAGTGGCACGGTATGTAGTGGCATCCCTTATTATGCACTCCCAGTGCGGCACCTCTAAACCCAAAGAGACCCAACCATCAAATTCGACGACTCAAGCTCCCCAATTTCTTCCCAGGAGCATGAAAGGGCAGACCGCCTGCCGTTGAGGAGGGCTCGGCTGAAAGAGGCTTTAGTAGAGCTTGAGGTCACTTTGCAAGGCCGTGCCTATCAAGCTTACCAGAAAGCCCGATACGTTTAGCGCACTATCCAAAACCACTAACAGAAGTCTAAAGGATATCGGCTAACCCGAAGGAGAGGGACGTGGGGCCATCTGGGTCCGGGTTCGGAGTTGGTTGGACTTCAACAAGGCTCGCAATGACAAAGAGTACAACAAAGCTGCTGAGCCCTTCCGGCTTGGGGGGAACACCCTACTGCCCGGAAGCTGCAGCCTCACCCATACCCTAGACCCAGCAGACACCAAGAGTGCACTCAATCCTCAAGCCTAAACCCTAAACCAAACAAGACCAAGGCACACACCAGAAGCGCCCCAGGATGGGATAGGTTAGCAAGATTCCCGGCCACCACCAGGCCCAGAAGAGATTCAGGCCGAAGTTCTGCGAAAAAGTTTGGGGACCTGGCTCGGGCTTGCGGGTTCTAGGGCTTAGAGGGTTTAGGGTTTAGGGGTTTAAGGGTTTAGGGTAGAGGCTCAAAAATGGTTTTAGGATTCGGAGGCACCGTGACTAAGGTTGCTTAATATGCGTGGAGGGGTTTGGCTTACCCTGGCTTGGGGTGCATGCGAAATGAGCCGCATGCGGAACAAAGCCCACGTAGTAGAGACTCATGACCCAATCGTGGGGCAAAGACTTTTGGGAAACAGCAAAAGCGAGGCCGAAACTCAGAAACCGTGAACCAGAACTCCCCTGACTAAAACAAAGAGTCAAGGCCAGGAAGTCGAAGCTCTGACTTCAGACAGTCAAACCCGCAATCCAACAGCACGGCAGCCCTTCCTAAAAGCCGTGCCTATGAAGAGAAGGATCACAAAGACGGGAAACGCATACTTGGTGAAGCCGTGGTTCCTGGGCTGCAGATACCGTTAGGCGGACAGCGCATACACCCCCAGTACAAGCTGTTCTTGCTTCCCGGCCTTCCCTTCCCCTTAGTTCGCCTTCCCTCCCTCCCCCCTCTCCCATCTCCCTCCGGACAAAAAAGAGAGAGAGAGAGAGAGAGAGAGAGCATTTTGGGTGGTCAAGCCTTTCCTGACCTGCTAAACATGTCCCCCAAAAAAACCGAATACGAGATCATGCCAGAAAGCCTATAATCATCCCCAAACCCTTCAACCAAAGCCCCGAGAGCCGAAACCTCGGCCAGCCTAAATCAAAACTGAAAAGCACCTATAGTAGAGGGGCCGAAATAATTTCCAATATATATATATATGTGTGTATATTTTTTTTGTTGGGGGGGCCTTTAATATAAGTATAGTATACCTTCCCCCAAAACCCTATTCTAAGTATTAAGGCCCCTCTATTATAATATGCCTTCATCCCAGCTCCAGCCTGCCAAGAAGAATACCAAAACTGCCAAGGCGCAGGCGCTCCAGCCAGTCTGACTGAAGGAAACGGCGGAGACCGGGATAAACTTCCAACAGGTTCACCTAAGGACTTAAGGATTGCTCAAAGCTTTCGGGTGGTTCCATAAGGGTCCCTGTAAAGGGCTAATGCCAATGTTGCATTAGGGATTCTGCAGCGGTTGGATAAGGGATCTTTTCGGGATTTCCAGGCTCGAAAGATTTTGTCGGTGGTCTACAGAGATTCTGGGTTCACCCCGGAAGTTCTTAGAGTTCTGGGGTTCTGGGTTCAGGTGTTGAGGGCATAGGATGTGCGGGATTAGGGGTGTCGAGCACAGTACCCCAAATAGATCTAAATTAAATAATGACCGGGGATCTGACGGGAAAAGGGGGGGGGGGGTGGGCGGGAACTTAAGGCGAGAGTTTCGTCTTCGTGTTCAGGGGTCTAGGTTCGGGTTTGGCATTTAGGGTTCAGGGTGTCGGGCTTGAGGATTAAGATCTGCACAGCAGCTCATGTACTTATAGGAACAGTTCAAGGTTCAAAATTTTAAAAAGCTTGAATCTTTCGAAGCACTATCTTCAGTTGCCGACAGAGACTTCCTAAAGCGAAGGTACCCCGAAACCCTAAGTCCGCAATCATGGCCTTGAACAAGTCCAACTTCTGCACACTCTGGGCGGTCCACAAAAGGTCCGAGGTGATGCTGCCACCAGGCTCCATGTTGCGATATGCATTGTCAATCAAGAAAAAGAGCTCCTCGACGTTGTTGGGAAAGTCATAAGCCTGCAACCTTTTCAGTGCCTCGGGTTCGATTTCCGGAATAGGCCGCCCTGTACCACGAGTCAAGCGCCTGAGCTCATATTGGACCATGCTCGAAATGTCACTTCTTCTGACGCGCAGGGCCGGAACTTTAATCCTTGGTGAACTGTTCAGATCACATCGCAGAAGCTAAAACTTCTCGTTTTGATGGAAGTTCTAGCACTCTAGCAGCGCAAAAAGATGGCTCCAAGAATCTGAACAACCTTGTTCTTTGGAAGGAGCTGTAAGACTGAACTCCACTGCTCTGCGGTGAGGATCACTTTCAACTTGCTCTGCTTTTCCTTCTTAAGTTCAGGGTACCTAGAGACCTAGAATCTGTCCAGAGTAGCCCTCATGGCAGTGACGAGGTGTCTGATTTCAGGGATTTGGGTGGGGTGTTAGGTCTACTTTGCACCCTGGCTTCCTTGTGCTGTGCCTTTGACCAATATGTCCCGTTGACTGCCAACTGCAGAACTCGTGGAAGCAAGGCTTTGTTCAGCTTGTCAACGTCGTTGAACACCACCGTTCCCTCAGAAGCCAGATCTAAGAGTCCAGAAGAGCGGGCCCGTCCAAAGATTCGAGCGCCTTTCACCGAAACCCCGCCGCAGTCAACGAAGTAGAGGCTGCCCTTGGCCCGAGAGTAGTGGATCAGGAAGGCCAGCATGTCTTTCTTCGTTCCCTGCTCGCCGAAGATGAGGACACTGCCGTTGTTTTTGCCATTCTGCCTGACCTGTTTCCGCAGGGTCTTTGAATAGGCGCTGCCTCCCAGAATGCCCCTGAGAGGCAAAATCTGGTTGGTACCTGGCAGACTCAGAGCAATTTACAACTTGCAACCGAAAAGCTCCGAACTGGCGAGGGCCCACGAGACCTACGGACCTACAGCCAAAACCATGACTTCGCACTGCCGCATTGGAAGTGCAGGTGATGCTGTTCTTCGGAGATGCAGCAATTCAACCAAGATAGTGGCATACGGCATACGCATTTCAGAAGCCGATTGGGGTCTTGGGGGGTAGTGTTATCACTAGATTTTCAAGATCGTAGTAAACGTAGCACACTATCTCTTCAACCTTCATTAGATGCACTAGCCAGGGCTCTGCTAGGCAATGCAACCTAGACAGAGGCAAGTCTGTAGGAGTGTCGGTCGAAAGTCAAGAACCAGAAGAACTAGAGAAGCTGGTCAGCAACGGTCCCCACATCCTAAACTCTTCAACTGTAGACTCTTCATCCGGAACTCTACACTACACTCTCCTCAAAATCGCGGAAGTCGAGCAGCCGAGCATGTATTCCGAACGGAGCCGGTCGGAAAGCTCGGAGGACGTAGGCAAGCATCCAACATCAACCTTGTCCACCTCGCGGGGCTTCGGATGTGGGTCCGGGCTGGATTTATATAGATCCTGCTTTCATTGCTCCGGGCTCAAGGCTCCAATCACCGCCCGACAGGCGAAACAAACCCCAGTTCACCTTTGAACATTATTCATTACACTGTACACATCGCTGGCATCCGGATATGAAAGCTTTGAGCGACTGACAGCACTTGCTTGCAATGACATCCTTCACATGTTGCTTGGGACAGTCCTGAACCTGCAAGGCGACATGGTGCAACACTGCCTAGCCACACATAGCGGCACAAGACAAGAAGGATTAGCCCTGAGTTCCAGTCCTTTAAACGTCCACCTGAGAACGCCCTTGTAACAAACGCAACGAAACCTGAACGGAACTCTTAACTCTTAAAGCTCTAAACCCCCGTGCACCCCCAAACAAGAACACCTAAAAGCCCTAAACCCCTAAACCATGCCGACATCAGAAGCGATTTCTAGCTCTTCAAATCGGCCTCCGCAGGGCCACTAGGCGGCCCTTCCGGGCCAGGACGCAGCTTTCTCACTCCTTTCTAGGGTTTTAGGATTCAAGTGATTTAGTGCTGTTGGGCTCAGGCTTGAGGATTTAGAGCTTTGGGGTTCAGGCGTCGTAGCATTGCGTAATCCCGGCTTTGAGTAGGCTTTTATAAGATGCTGTTAAGGATTGAGGGCTTGCCGCACTCAGGGTTCGGGGCCTTAATTGCTGGAATAGGGTTTCGGGCTCCTTTAATAGTATGATTCTTGTCGGGAATCTTGAGGACTAATGCTGGTAAATTTGTAGGCTCCCATATTTACTTGCTGTCATGGTTAACGTTTTTTTGCCTCCCACATAGCAAGGACGAGCCCGCATTGCAGGGTGGCCAAGGAACTGGACTGTTCGCCTCAACTACGTACAGAGATGCATGGTGTTAGGGTTCAGGGTTTCATTTGGAGCTCAGGGTTTGAGGATTTCGGCCCTATATGGGTCAGGGTTTTAGCACAGCCGTCTCCTTCTGGTATGCCCTCGTCCGGTAGCCGAACAATAATGTCGTCCTTGCCGGCACGCAGCGGCAACGTCAACCTCGCTCGGTCCGCACGTTGGGGAATTTTTGACGAAGTGAAGGCGAAGCCCCCTGTTGCAAATCGGTGCAGGCATGGCAGAAAAATCGCAAGTACCACCCATACACGTTGGATGCGCCGCGGCATTGGCGATACATCTCACCTTCTGGCTTGAAAAGGCTGCGATTGAAGAGTTCAACATGGGTGCGACCCGACACGCAATTCCATTCAGCAAAGTAGTAGACACAAGCAGGGAAACTCTTCGCGAAATATATCCCGAAGAGACCCGAACACAGCTGAGTTCCACGAATTCACAAGTCTAGGCAGCCTAGGCTGACTATCAGCCACAGAGTTTATTTTGAGAGAACCGCCCATGAACAGCTCAGAAAGCGAGGGTTGCAAGCCGCAGAACCTGCTTTCAAACTGACAACAAAGCTGATCCGGCCCAGATTGTCGAATTGCAGAGGTCCCTAGACCGGTGAGCTGTCTTGATGGTGATCGCGACCCCGAAGCACATGCTAGTCTTACTCTGCCTAGCGAAGCGCCTCAGAGACACGTCGAATTTCTGTCCTACCGACACGCCTTTTTGTGGATAAGCTGTTAGATCAGATAGTGGCCTGCTGTTCTCACTAGCCATTGATATATAGAACATAGAAGAAGATGTTCGCAACAGGAACTGCATGTAAGGATCTTGTTCTCTTTTGAGGCATCCGGTTGAAAATGGCGAGTCCGACTTCACAAGAATTGTCGCAGAGATCTCTGGCATTTTTCTAAGCGGGACGGGAGATCCTGCTGTCGGCCCCCAGCCCGAAACTGTCAACCCTAGGCCCACAGAGCTCGAAGTGGGGAGCTGAATGACATCTACCGGATGACACGGGTCTATAGGGTCTAGGACTTGACTAGGACCTCTCGGGATTTTTGATGGTGTGCAAGGAAAGCAACCCTCATTCCACCAGGATGCTCAGATGCATATCTCGGGTTTTCATACCAAAAGAAACAAGGAAGACAGCAGGATTCGACACGATTCGTGCATCATAAACAGCACGCAGGTTGTGGCATACTCTCAGCCTTTAGCCTGCACCCCCAAATCCAATCTCTGATGAGGTTCGAAGTAAGTCACTCCAATCTCTGAACTGGGAGCCCGCTAAGGAAACCCTCTATCGATCTTCAGAGCTTGCCGAGTTCCCCTGTGCTGCACTGACCCTGCCTTGAGCGAAGAAATGCCGAGAGAAGCCTGGTCAGTGGGAAAGACAACTCCTACATATGTGAATTCACATGTGTATGTATATATATATATACATATATATATATATATATGTATATATATATGTATATAAAGATGTACACGTTAGCATATTAGCGTTGGGGTGCCTTTAGTTCGGGGTTGTTTAGGGGTCAGTTCCTTGGTAGGGGTTGGACTCGCTTTAGGGTTTTCTGGTTCGCTGTTAAGCTTGCACTGACAAATCTCGATGTCTCAATCACTTCTGACTCTTGGGTGATATATGTGTGTATATATATACATAAGAAAATAATAAGAAGAAGAATAATAATAGCAACAGTAATAATAATTGCTACGTAAGTTTTCGTGATGTAGCATACTGCAGTTCTATGAGATTCTATCGGGTCTCGCGAAGGGGAGGGTGCCGCTAATTGTTACTCCAACAATTAAAAAGTCCCAAGCCTGGTATCAGCGATAACCCGGCACCATGAAGCCTCAACATGCAACTCTAAACCC